AGATTGTAGGTAGCAAGAGGAAAATAGTAGGGATCAAAAAGTTTAATGAGGAAACCACTGCTAGGCATTGCCATTTGACAAACACTTTCCTTTTTTCTAGAGTGAATCCTTTGACATGGAGATGATGCTCTAATGAGTATCATGAAAAAGAAGATTCTGAAAAGTTGCTACAATATTTTAATTTACCAACTAGTTTCTGATAACTGTAGATTGTGGTTTTTCTGTGGGGGCAAACTGGAGACAGTCCAGATAACCTTTTTCTTTTCTGTTGGGAAATAATGTTAACACCAACGTGTTAAGTGACTGCAATAAAGTTTCATGTCTGTGTTTCCTTGTGATTAAAAAGGGGTTGTTTGGGAGAGGATCCACTTTCACCAAAAAGAATGGCTACTGCCAGGGATTACATTTAAGCTGAAATACTTGAACATCAACTGGTCAAGCCTCTCCTCACTTTGCAAATGAAGTAACTGAGGCCAGAGAATCGTAGTGATTAGCAAGGTCAGCAAGTGGGACCAGAACTCTGGCTTCCAGGTTCTGGCTGGATGTTCTTTCTCCACGGATTTGCTTCTCACACAGGCATCTTTAAAACCTGATTTCTTCCCACTCCCCTCATCTTTTATTCCCCTACTGTTCTTTTCCTTCCCATGTTCCATACACCTGACCCCTTCTCCCAAATAAAGCCAAAGTGGAAATATTAAAATAAATACCTGGAAAACAGTCCACTCTCTTATTTCATTTATTCCTTTTGATGAGATTAAGTTATAATCAACTTTCACTCATTGCCTTGGAGGGGAAGGAATACATGTTTACATTCTTTAGTGTCATTTATACACAGACTATTTAATGCAAAAATTTGTTTAAATTATGAAACATACACGTTCAACTGGTGCAGGTGAAAAATACTGGCTCATTTTTCATATAAAACATGAAGCTGCCTTTGTGCTATTCTGGGCAAAATAATGGAGAGCTTATTACAAAATGATTTTTCTAACCTATTTCTGTCCTCATTAAAATCATTTAAGAAAAAAATGTTTATTTTTTCTTTTTATTGGGGGAGTGTGGTAATAGAGCAGGATTTTCTTTTTCTATTTCAGTTGTTTCAAGGAAACTTTCTACAAAATGAATGCTCCTAAAATATGTCCTTTTTCTGAATTAATTTTATTGCTATAAATACTGAAACATAGCTGGTCAAAAAGAAGGAAACATTTGCAAGTGTTTGTTTTTTGAAGTGTGAAAGCAATTTGGAAAATTTAAAGTATGTGCTAATAGTTTCCTGTATTTCCATAATTTTATTTAATTATACCTGGGGAAATGTGTTAAGATATTTAAGAAAAAAAATTTAAAGAGATTTACAACTGTGTAAAAATTCTCAAGTGGGAAAATTGTGTTAAAATCCAGAGAATTTCCTTCCAGATAAGGAAATTAAATAACGGAATTTTGCTTTTTGAAAACAAAAAACAAAATGCCCCCATATTCTGAAGTGCCTTTATTATAAGATCAAGGCACCCAGCGGAGTACTCTTTCATTTGATTCCGTATTGTAAGAATTTTAAGAAAGTTACTTGCTTGGTAGTTCGCTGAAACCTCAATGGGAAGGAGGGATCGGGAACAGTTTGCCCGATGTGCAACTTTTGAGCTGGAAACCACAATCTTCAAGGCCAGAGAGCAGGTTCCCTAAAATCGCCCCTGGCCGCCCCCTTGCCGGACGAGGTCTTTTTCTGACCCTCCAAAGGCGCAGGGCGCTGTTTTCCTGGCTGCCCGAAAGTACCGGCGCCAGAAGTCTGAAGACCTTTGCATTTTAGGCAATGCCGGGGTGGTGATGGGGGTGGGGGCGGGGGGGGAGTAAGGGCTTAGTGGTCATTTTCTGGGGTTCTCCTGATTCCTTCCCCTTTGACTTCACTTATCTTAGATTTCTGAGACTGATATCTCACAGATAAAGGGATCACATTATAAATGATATATCTGGAAATGTAGTAAAAGTAGTAGACTGTGCCTTGCAAGGGTTCCCTTCCATAGTGGTAAAGGCAAGGGTTTCCTTTGTTTCGTGTTCTGGGGGGAGGGGGGGCGGGAGGACACATGTAAAAATCCATTAATTAGTGAGAAATCATTAGCCTTCTTCGGAAGGGTTCCACTTCTAAAGAGGAGGTGGTGATGTGCTGAATAAAGGGGAAGGTGACGAGAAAAGGGGAGAGGAAGTGTTGGGGAGGATTGAGGTGGAGGGAAGGGCTGCTCGGCTGGCCCGGGGGTCTCGGCGACCCTGGGGCGCGAACTGCGCGTGAAATTACTGAGCTGCGAACGCAGCACTGGGGCTGCAGACCCCGGCTCCTTTGCCGGGAGAAGAGCCCCGGTGGAGTCGCTCACGGTAGTGTTACAGCCCCTCCTCTTAGTTTTAAGAACCTAAGCATTGTCTCTGCTTTGATAAAGGTTATTCATTGCTTATGGGAAAACAACGACGGTGGGCTGTGGCACCTCTTTTGGCTCCTTGCATTGCACTGTTGGAATTAAAAACAAAACTAAACCAAAAAACGGCCAAGAACATGTGTACTTTGCTTTTTAAATGTAGAAGCCTTAGATTGTGGTACCCAATGGGCACATGATAGATTATTTACTTGATTTTTACCCCCAGTGCGTTAAAAATCTATGTAGCTATTTGAACTCATTTTAAAGATATTTTGGAAGAACTATGATAAATCAACTTACGGAAACATTTGGCTTTCACAAGTATAAAACATGCGTTTTGAGTCAAGCACAGGTCTTTCTGGCACTAAAATCAAGTAGGAAATGAGAAAAAAATTAAAACCAGAAGACTTCAGGAAGGTGACAAATTGGAAAGCATTCTAGGAGATTCATAGGACCATTTTATGTGAAAGACGCTTTCTCTGAGCTTAAAGAGATTATGTTCAGTTTTATAAAAGGATCTTAGGCTCAAAAGACAAGGGTGGGGGAAAGGAAAGACCAACCTATGTAAAAGATAGTGCCATATCCCTGAAATGGTGATATTTTCTTAGTGTCTCTGTTCACTTTTCTCCCAAATTTCCTTCCCTCCTCCTCCTCCTCCTCCTCTTCCCTTCTCTCCCCCTTTCTTTTACCCAACCCCCAGGTATGTAAATGCAGTTGCCTTAAATTCTTTGTGAATGAACATTAGAGGATTTCTCAGAGTTCCCAGTTGGAAAAAGCCTTCCACACAACTTGAAAGGCTGATGTCCCTCTCAGGAAATGAATGAGTCGATAACCTCTGACACCAGTGACCAGTCCAGTGAACCCTACCTTAATTCCACTAATACTGGAGGCCCCCAATCAGGCAAGACTGAATCTCATATCATACTGTGTGGTTCAGTTATGGTATTTCACACTTTTAAGCTGTGTATCTGTAGGTTTGAATTTCATCAAATTTAACAATAAACAAGGATTCAGAATCCACCTATAGTTTCGGATTTTATTAAACTTTTCTAATTAAGACAAACTTACAGATAAAATATCATGTACTATAAATGTATGTCAGTGACAGCTAAACTGTACTGGCTTGTGAATTTTATGACAATTGGGTTTACATGAATAATAGCTTTCCCCCTCAAGTTACATGCATACTTTTCCAGATTATTTTTCTGTTACCCAGATGTTGATTTTTTAAAGTAAATCTGTCATTTAAAATATTTTTAAAAGGCACATAACTTATTTTAGTATTTTCTATTTTGTATTATGTGAAATGTTTAACCTGGAATGAATGCCCTTGTTAAAGTTACTTCATTATAGGTCAGTTGCTTTTTTATTAAAAATAATGCCTAGTAAATGTTTTGTTAACAAATAATTTTTTGAGAGCTTTGAGCTTTTGTTACTCCTTCCAAATCATTTGGATTTTCACGCTTTTTCTTTCCTCCCTACCAAGGTTTATACCCCCTTTCATGGGAAACAACAAAATAAACAGACAAAAAGTCTTTACAAATTCATCTGTCTTTATTGAAGCCTTTTACCATAGACTGCCTAAAATAGCATATATATATATAATCTCCACTTATTTCAGATCTGAACCAATTAGTATACATTTATATTTACTTGTTCAGTAGGAGGAGGAGGTGTGCATAGATGCCATATGTGGATTTTTCAGAAGGTCTTGGATTTAGGCTCCCTGCATTTCAGTTTGTGTGAAACAGTGTTGGTTAGGAGTGTTAAGAGTTAGCAGTGTGGACATGTTTGGAGACACCCGAGGGGATTGCGGGTTTGGTGGGGGAGGGTCAACTCGGTAGCGTTGCCTAAGGGAAGTGGTATCTGTACAGTTTCTCTGTAAACTGCTTGTTTAAGAAAGGGGGGTGGG